AACACCCTAGTAACCACCTAGCAACACCTTAGCAACCACCCAGAAAACCCTAGCAACACCTTAGCAACCACTTAGCAACACCTTAGCAACCACTCAGAACACCCTAGCAATACCTTAGCAACCACCTAGGAACACCTTAGCAACCATTCAGAACAACTTAGCAACCGCATAGCAACACCTTAGCAACCATTCAGAACACCCTAACAACCACCTAGCAACACCTTAGCAACCACTCAGAACACCATAGCAATCACCTAGTAACATCTTAGCAACCACCTAACAACCAGTTAACACCCTAGCAACCGCCTAGCAACACCTTAGCAACCACACAGCAAACCCTAACAAAACCTTAGCAACCTATTTATCTACCTATTTCTGCCAACTCATTTGAAACTTTTTAAAAACTACTTAAATTCTTCAAACTTTCAGACTAGGCCTTCTCAAGCCACCATAAAAGTTGTTAACAAACTTTACTTTTTTTAGTTAAGCCTTTAAATGTCACTTTAAGCTGAAAAAATATCTAGTCAAATATTATTTACTGTCATCAAGGCAAAGATAGAGTAAATGATTTATTAGAGAGGAATTATTAAAACTATTATGATTAGAAAGGTGTTGGCAAAAAAATGAACAGAATTTAGGGAAAAAATAAATGGGGGCTAAAAATTCTGTCTTCAACTGTATGTGACAGTATAAAATTGACCTATTAGTTTCACTCTGTGTCTGTTTTGAGCTTCAGATTTACGCTAATATTTTAGTTGGACAGACCAATTATATTTCTTCTCCCCAAAGACCTTTGGCCTTGTTTGAACAAAGCATTGTATCCGCACTATGGCTCGTTCCTAAAGCACTTTGTGGTTCGGTTGGTCATTGGTTCCAGCATTGCAAAGTGTTGACATCATGGGATCGAGAGAATGTGAGTGCGTTACATTCTGTCTCAGCGTTATGGTCTGCAGCAACCCAGACGCAGTTCATGCACACAGTGCTTTAGTGTTGTTGTTAATGCCGACAGCTTTTGCGTTGTTTACTCATTTCCATAAATTTGTCAAAAGTGAATGTCCTGATGTTTTCATAGTCTAGAAGAGACGCGTCAACGCCTCGGTTGGTAATATATCTGAGAATTAACTAATAAACGTAGATGATGTTTATTGGAAAGTTGAAAGTGTGCAGTGTTTGTTTAGATGGAGTCACAGGATGTTTTTGTTCTTGAATGGTTTTATGAAATCCTGCTAGGAATGTATCAAGGGATGGTTGTGTTCAAACGTTCTGTATTATTAAAACTTTTTAATGGTGCCATAGAGTTAGTTGATTCAATATGTTCAAGTGTTCTCTGCTATCTACATCGTTTGTGGCTTACTAAAATGGTCCAGAAACAGATTTATATGCTCATTTATAAGCAGAGGAATAACCCTATAGAATGTAAGGCTCTGTTTTGACCATATTTCGAACAGTTGTAAATATTAATAAGCTCTGATTTGATGCGTCACAGCTCGTTCTCTTTCTCATAGCTTGTAACGCTCACAGACATACTGCATGCAAAATATTCATGCTTCATTCGTCAGAAAGCATTTGAACAAAATAAGGAGATAAGGAAAGTATCCATAGAACAGTATTCACAGCCTTTGATCAATACTTTGTTGATGCACCTTTGGCAGCAATTACAGCCTCTAGTCTTTTTGAATATGATGCCACAAGCTTAGCACACCAGTCTTTGGGAATTTCAGCCCATTCCTCTTTGCAGTACCTCTCAAACTGTATCAGGTTGGATGGGAAGCGACGGTGTACAGGTATTTTCAGATATCTCCAAAGTTGTTCAATAGGATTTAGGTTTGGGCTCTGGCCGGGCCACTCAAGGACATTCACAGAGTTGTTGTGAAGCCACTCCATTGATATTTTGGCGGAGTGCTTTGGGTCATTGTCCTGTTGGAAGATGAACTATCGCCCCAGTCTGAGGTCAAGAGCACTCTGAAGCAGGTTTTCATTCAGGATGTCTCTGTACATTGCTGCATTCATCTTTCCCTCTATCCTGACTAGTCCTCTAGTTCCTGCTGCTGAAAAACATCCCCACAGCATGACGCTGCCACCACCGTGCTTCATTGTAGGGATGGTATTAGCCTGGTGATGAGCGGTGCCTGGTTTTCTCCAAACGTAACGCCTGGCATTTGCTCCGAAGAGTTCAATTTTAGTCTCATCAGACCAGAGAATTTTGTTTCTTATGGTCTGAGAGTCCTTCAGATGCCTTTTGGCAAATTTCAGGCGAGGAGTGGCTTTCCTTTGACCACTCTACCATACAGGCCTGATTGGTGGATTGCTGCACAGATGGTTGTCCTTTTGTAAGGTTCCCCTCTCTCCACAGAAGAACACTGGAGTTCAGACAGAGTGACCATTTGGTTATTGATCACCTTCCTGACTAAGGCCCTTCTCCCCTGATCACTCAGCTTAGATGGCATATTGAAGTGATATTAGGACAAAAAGTCTCTTTTTTTAAAATCTCCTGATTTTAAAATAGGACCCAAATCCCAGTAATTTTGAGGCCCACCGCAACGGGACATAGGAATGCGGTTTTCCCCACCCATCGAATAGATTGACAGGCACCATGTTTCTATAATAACATGTATACACATGTCCACAGAACATTTTTGCAAAGAAACTGAAATTAAAACATGTATTACAGCTCTCTGTGATCAGCTGTACCTTAGTGATTAATTTTATTAGTTTAAAACAGAACATGTTTGCAATAAAGACAGTTAGATCTCTGTAATTCTTACCCACTATAATCACCACAGCTGAATGGTGTCAGTAAGTGTTTGTGTGTGTGTGTGTGTGTGTGTGTGTGTGTGTGTGTGTGTGTGTGTGTACTGAAAGTGTGACTCAACATTTCAAAAAGGCTTGAATAAAATGTTGACTAGTGACCTTATTTCAGCTTCATCCAAGTTCACTGACTGCTGTTTATCTAATGTAAAGGCTGATTTATACTTCTGCGTCAAACGCCGGCGTATGCTACGGCGCTGACGCATAGCCCTTCGCCGTGGCCGTCGCCGTCACTGACGTGCACCTCTCAAAAATTGTAACTACACGTCGCAATGACGCTTAGCGTAAGCTCTGTGATTGGTCGGCTTGGTAGCGTTGACGAGTCTGGGCGGGACCGAGAGCTGCGCGAATGGCGCGAGCGATTGTTTACAAGTGTGGAGTCCCGTGAAGGAGCTCCGGATGGAAAGTTTTGTTTTATGTTTACCTCATAGTTAAAGTTGTTGCACGTCCGCCGGTTCCTGCCTCAAAATGAGCAAGTTTGAGCCACTTGTACATCCCAGAAGTGTTTAGGAAAAGCAAAACAACAGCAAAGAAACTCGACACAGAGGAACATTTACACCTCACTGCCCATTAGCGTTTCGGAAGTGTTAATGCAGACCAACAGAGACAGTGCACAGAAGTATAAATGCACAGCCACGCGCGTTGCATGCGCCGTGGGTTACGCCGGTCACCTGACGCAGAAGTATAAATCAGGCTTAATGCATGATAAGAAGCAGACATGGACGTGCATTCTGGAGACAATAAAGGCTTACCTTACATCTTGTAAAATGGTAAAATAGGTGCCTTTTAAATCAAAATTGACAAAGACATTTACATTAAACTCCATTTCAAGTAAATTTCTATTCATCAAAGAATCCTGAAGAAAGAAAACCTGGCTGCGAACAGATTACATACAGGAATAGAAAAAAGAGCACTCTTTAATTATCAGCTGTTAGTGAGTGCCCACACTTTTTTTCCTGGTCATTGCGCCTTTGCTGCGTGCTGTGTAGACGACCGGATACGAGTCACTTTTAAAAGAGAAGCAGGTCATCAAAAAAATTGAATACAGTCACAAAATCGGAATTGACCATCAATATCTGCAGTGTAAATGCAGCCCTGTAAATTACCAACTCAAGTGGTTTGTAGCAATCGGTTTCCTTCAAACGATTTGAGTTGCCTTAGCTTATTGGGTTTTACTGTGCTCAAATTGCTTCATTTACTCAAATGTATTAGGTTCACAGTACTCATTAGGATTAGTTTTTAAACTTAAATGGTTTGTTGCAATCGGTTTCCTCAAATGCTTTGAGTTACCTTAACATTTTGGGTTTTACAGTGTAGTGTATGTGTGTGAAAGGGATTGTGTTGGTGTTTCCCAGTGATTGGTTACAGCTGGAAGGGCATCCGCTTTGTAAAACGTTCTGGATAAGTTGGCGGTTCATTCCGCTTTGGCGAACCCTGATTAATAAAGGGACTAAGCTGAAAAGAAAATGAAGGAATTGCAAGAAAAAGGCAGTATTTTAAGTTTCTGTCTGCAAATTCTTATTTTTCTTTACATGAATTATTAATATATTTAATTATATTACCTTAAATATTGCACTGTAGTATGATACACAGACGTGACATGAAAAATTGCAATTTCTTTTTTCTTTAATGTGACAGAAACAGGCTGTATGGAAAAACATGGTTTCTAATGTAAAAGTTTAGTTTACTTCTCATCTTTGACCTTACAGTCACTTATCGGCAATAATTCATTGTTGTGCGAAAACAGGAATAACATTGATTAATAAACAAGAGGAAAACAACGCAGGAGGAAAGGATGTGCAAGTAAAGAACTATAGTATCAGGAAGCGCAGGAACACTTCCAATTCTCTCCGCTTCCTGCTTCACATTACTTTTGTTCAGCCAGATCCAGTCGTCTTGCCAAAATCCTAAACAACTCCTCCAGTCTTTCTTCCTTAATTGCTTTAATCAATTACTCGACATTCACAGTGAAGCACACACAAAATCATTTTTGTTACAAATTGATCCAGATATTTAGATTGGCTTCTGATTTTTGGTGCTCATTTCTGTTTTATTAGGCTTGGAAAGGGAGGGAAATGAGCTCCCTGTGTACGCAGTGGTAGCTTGTGTGCGAGTCTGAAATGGGGTGGGGGTTCCTCGCTTGCAGAGATCCATGGGAAATGTTGTATATTCATGTTGCCTTGCGAACGCTGTGCTCTGGCCAGATGGAGGGGGAGAGCGAGAGAGAATGAGCCTCACGCCTCTTCTTTCCTTGCGCTCAAGAGCTGTGTGTTTTCAACAGAGCCTCCTAATCAACTTTAGCTCTCGAGCAGTCTGAGAAAGTCCTTCATGTTGAGCAAGAGACGAACCAAAAGAGATCTGCATGCCGAACTCTAAAGCGCAGGCTCTTTTCCCCAGTCATGGGATGCATGTTCTCTTTGCCTCAGGACAGACTGGACGCCGCAGAGAGGTTAGTTTGGGACAGATGGATGGTTGACTTTTTAAAAAGAAAGGCTTTTCAGTGTTGTAATGGATTTATCAGATGCTGTTTATAATTTTGTAGAAGTGCTTTCGGTTTTAAGGATTGCTTGCAATGTTGTTTTAGGGATATTTTAGTCTTCTGAATTCTTTATAGTTTAGTTTTAGTTGAGTAAATATATTATTTAGTTGACAGATGTTGTTGATGAATAATAGGATAAACGATTTGTCAGCAAAATAAAAGGGTTTACTTTAAAAAGAAGTGTTTTTGGTGTTGTAATGGAAATTTTAAGTGTGTTGATGATTTAGTGGAAGGGATTTTGGTCTTATGTAGTGGTATGATTTTGTGGAAGTGCTTTCGCTCTTATAGGGATTGGTTGAAATGTTGTTTTAGAGATATTTTAGTCTTCTGAATTCTTTATAGCTTCAGTCTAGTTTTAGTTGAGTGAGTTTTGAAAGATTTAGGCAACTAAATATACTATTTAGTATATTTTAGTAATCGGTTCAATTATTTGTCAGCGAAATTAAATGGTTGCCAATAAAAGTAGTGTTTTTGGCATTGTAATGGAAATTTCAAGTGTGTTTAGGATTTTATGGAAGTGCTTTCGCTGTTAGGGATTGCTTGAATTGTTGTTTTAATGATATTTTTGTTTTCTGAATTAATTGTAGTTTTATTCAAGTAAAGATAATATACATGTAAAATACAAATAAATACACATGCACTAAAGTCTGTAAATTAGCAGTTTTCTGTATTTTCTGATTCTATATTTTTATTTTTTATTTATTTATACTTTTGAATTACACTATGGGACCTTGATCTTTCTTTCAATGCCTTAACCTTGAAAAGTAAAAAAAAAACATTGTGACTTTTATGAAGATTTTTAATAGTTTATAGTGATATATTGTCTGGATTGGTGTTGTATTACACTTCAAAAAGACTTATTCTGATATTTATTACTTCTTATACTTTTTATTATTTCAAACTATTAAAATGTTTTTTTTTTATTATATAATTATTTGGGGGTTTTCGCCTTTTTTTGGATAGGAAAGAAAAGATAATTGACAGAAAAGCATTGAGAGTAGAGAGGGTAAGGATCAGCAAAGGACTGCGAGGTGGAATCGAACTCTGGTCGCCATGAGCACCGGAATGTGTGTGTTGACGGCTTGACGCACTAACCATTACACCACTGGCACCAACCAAACCATTAAAATGTTAATAAATGTCACTTTGTTAAAGTTAAAACTTCAACATCAGAGTCGACAGAGCAGAGCTCCTATAATGCAATTCACAACCGTTAATAAATGGAAAACAGTTATGAATAAAAAAAATAAGGAAACTGTTAATGAACATTTTTACAGTGTAGTTTTAGTTGATTAAAACCTAAATCATAACATTAATCATGCAAATCTCAAACATTTTAATAAGGTCATTGTATACTCCTGGAGAACAAAACATTTTTAACCTTTTAAATGTGTCTTTCTCCCTAAATGTTTTGTTTTGTCTTTATTCGTTGATGAAAATGTCACTACATTTTTGTCAGTTTTTCAAATCTAAAACAGATTTTTATGTAGTCTTTTCAAGTTTCTGTCAGTGAAAAAATCTTGATAAATTAAATGTTTGCTGTTAAAAGCAGTGTTTTGGTGTTGTAATGGAAATTTTAAGTGTGTTTAAGATTTCGTGGTAGTGCTTTTAGTTATGAATTGGTTGAATTGTTGGTTTAGTGATATTTTTATTTTCTGAATTCATTGTAGTTTTAGTTGAGTAAATTTCATAAGATTTTACTCCAATAAATGTTGTTTACACTGTAAAAATATCTATAAATTAGCCGTTTTCTGTATTTTGAGATTCATGTTTTCAGTTTTACTGCATTTATTTATGCTTTTAAATTGCATTATGGGATCTTGATTGTTCTTCCAACAATTTTTAACCTTGAAAAGTTTGAAAAACTTTTATTGACATTTTTAATAGTTTATAGTGATATGTTGTCTGTTTTGATGTTGTAAATTACGCTACAAAACTCTTATAATAAACTGCCAGTACATTTTCTGTTATTTTACTATTTATTTCTCTATATATTATTTCTTATTCATTATATAATTTTCAAACTGTTAAAAGATCAATAAAAGTCACTTTGTTAAACTGTAGAGTTGAATTTTCAACATCAAAAGTTGACAGAGCAGAGATCAATGTCCCATAATGCAATTCACAACCGTAAATAAACAGAAAACATTAGTAAATCACAAATTACGGAAACTGAATTGACAGATATGGTTTACAGGGTAGATTTTGTTGACAAAAAAATGTAATAAGCTCATTATATACTCCTAGAGAACTAGCTTTTAACATCTTTTTGACCTTTAAACAATTTGTTTCCCCCTAAACATTTTCATTTTGTCTTTATTCATTGATGAAAATGTCACTACACTTTTGTCACAGTTTTTGAAATTTAAAACTTTTTATCTTTTTATTTTTATCTATTTTTTTCCTGTTTTCATCAGTGAAAAATATGGTTGATGAATAATGGGATGATTATTTGTCTGCAAAATTAATTGGTTGACTTTAAGAAATAATATTTTGGTATTGTAATGGATATATCAGATGGTGTTTATGGTTTTGTGGAAGTGCTTTCACTCTTCGGGCCATATAATACACCCGGTGCAATAAAGTGCAAGACGTCCAAGACGTGCAATTTTTGAGGTGGTAAATCTGAAAATAACTCTACAGTGTCACACAATCCTTCAGAAATCAAACTGAAATGCTGATTTGATGTTAAAAAACATTTCTTTTTATTGTTAAAAATGTTAAAAACAGTAGTGCTGCATTATATGGAAATCCATGTCATAATAAAAGTCTCATTTGATTAATATAATATGCTTTAGCTGTAAAAATAAAAAGTCCAGATCAAACTTACATCCTTTTTTACACTTTGAGGCCACCTTCTGTTCTTCATTGCTGAGTTAGCATGAAAGTTTGTGGTTTTCATTAGTTGAACAATGACTGAAAGCAGACGTGCTCTAATGCTGCGCTGCTCTCGGAGGGGTGTGAACTTCAGGAAGTTCTCCTGTGTGGAAAAGGCCAAGAAATGAATGGCTCAATCCCCTATTCATTACCAAAAGAGTTGGTCTGGCATGCTTTTCAGCCTTTTCACATATGTGTTCTCTCTTTCTCTCCCTCTTCTTATTTTTTTCTCTTTTTATAGAACAGCACCAATACGTGAGACCAGCTTTATTGAGAAAATGAAGAAAACGGTGAGATCTCCACCAATGTTGATATTGATTTAATCTTTTAATTAAAAAAAATATTTTTTTTGTGACATTTTTGTCTTCTGAATTCATTGTAGTTTAAGTCAACCTAATTTCGTAAGATACTTCTAAATATATTCTAGATTTAGTTGACTGAAATCTGAATCAGGAAATTAATTATACATATCTTTAAAAGTTGTTGTCTCATTATATTCTAATTATATACTGCTGGAGAACTCGCATCTTTTAACAATAGTCTATCTCTAAACATTTTCATAACATCTTTATTCGTTGAGGAAAATGTCAATGATGAATAATATGATGAAAATTATACGCCAACGAAATGAACACTGATTTCCGCAACTATTTTGTTAATAAATAAATTTTGTTCAAATCCAAATATTTTTTTAATATTTATATTGTTGAACTGTTTAACTGTTTTCTGCATCTTCTATTCTAGAATCGAAGCGTTGTGGTGTTTTACGGATCCCAAACAGGGACTGGTGAAGAATTTGCTAACCGACTTTCAAAAGATGCCCATCGCTATGGCATGAAAGGGATGGCAGCTGACCCAGAGGAGTATGACATGGTACTGTAGCCATTATTGCTGCCTGTTTGATGCCTCGTTGTGCATTTTCAGACATTATCTTTCATTTAATGTGTAATATAGTTGTTTTTTCAGTGTGAATGTTTGATAAATGGAGATATTTTCTCTGCCTGAAATAAGTCATTGGTAATTCTGGCTTAATTGTCTGCACAAACCTACGTATGTTTGGATAAAGTTTGCATAATGCTGTTAAGGGATGGGCGAACCTAAAATTATTTTCAAAAACTAACACAAATATAGTTACTTTAAACACTCGACTAGTGTTATCAGGTGAATTTAGAGGTAAAGTTTGTCAGTAAAAGGTATTCGAAAACTTGCTCAAACACGCAAACTGTTGCACTTGTATTTCTGTACTAATAAATTATTTAATAGTTTTATTGTTATTACGATAAGTCAAATTTTTTCTTTTTCCCCCTCATAATATCGCCCATGGCTAATAATCTATGGTCTTCCCTCTCTGTATGTAACCAACACCTATATTGATCTTCAATTATTGTTACTGTTCTTTCTGTTTTTTTCACTTTTCGGACAAATACTGTAAATGGCAGACTAATCAGAACATAATGGGTCATCTGACCAACCAGAACAGATAATGACATGATCCGACCAATCAGAGCAGCCTGGGCCATGATCTGGCCAATCACAATCAGAATAGACCAATCAGAGCAGCGTAGGTTGTCAAAAAGGTGATGTTTTTAGAAACCAGATCCTGAAATAAATCTTTTATACCTTATGAGAAAAGATTGATGCTGCATTGTGTAAACCGTTTATTGGAAACCACCAAAACAAAATTAGGAAACTTAAAAATTCTGTATATGGGACACTTTAAAAATTACATCATTTTACTGGTCTTATTACTGTTGTCACGTTAGTGGAATTTGAAACCAATCTGTACTGAAATTTTAAAAATGTCCATTTCCCATTTGAGCGATGTTGAGCGCATTCTTAAACACTGCTGATTTGCCATTGTGTTTACGTGCTCAACAGAAATGACTGCGATTGGCCGAGAAGGTCATCAGTTCACCGAACTCACCGATGTTTACTGAATGTAGCCACAGATACTGGAGCGTTTTAAAGCCGTGGAGATCAGCTGCTCTGTTTATAAGCAGACATATGAGCGATCCGCTGATTAATCAACTGATCTTCATGGCTTTAAAACACTTCAGTGTCCCTGTATCTGTGGTTACACTCCGTAAACAGTGGTCAATTTAATGAACTGATGACCTTCATGGCCAATCACTGTCATTTCTGTTGAGCACGTGAACACAATGCCAAATCAGCGCTGTTTAAGAACATGGTCAACAGCTATAAAGTGGGTTTTTTTTCTGATAAACACTGTCATAGTTTGTTAGATGTGGGGTTTTAAGAGACCAGATCCTGAAATTAACCATTTCAGACCTTGTGAGATGCTGCAAAGCATAATTTGAGAAATTAACATGATTTTTAGACATGGTGGATGTTTGAAACTTTATTTACCACCAAAACAAAATTAGGAAACTTTAAAATTGTTTAAATGGGGCACATTGACAATCACACCATTGAAACTATTCAAATCACTACAAATGAGCTTTTTTCCCTGACAAACACTGTAAACTGTAGACCAATCAGAACAGAATGGGCCATCTGACCAATCAGAACAGATTATTGCATGATCTGACCAATCAGAATAGCCTGGGCTATGATCTGACGAATCACAGTCAGAATAGAATAATCAGAGCAGAATAGGTTGTCGAAATGTGGGGTTTTGAGAGACCAGATGCTGAAATGAACCATTTCAGACCTTGTGCAGAAAAAAATGATGCTGCAAAGGATATTGCAAGTAATTTAAAGGATTATTAAACCTGCATGAATGTTTAAACTATTCATTATAAACCATCAAAACAAAATTAGGAATCTTTAAAATGGTAAATATGGGGTACATTAAAAATCACTTAAGATAAGAATTGTTCTGTGCTTTTTTACTCTTTTTTACTCTTTTGACTTGTAAATTAATATCTTCAATCCCATTCACAGTCTGAGTTGTCCCGACTGAAAGAGATTCCTAAATCGATGGCTGTGTTCTGCATGGCAACCTATGGAGAGGGAGACCCTACAGACAACGCTCAGGAGTTCTATGATTGGTTGCAAGGGACAGATGACGATCTGGAGGGGGTTAATTTTGCTGTGAGTATAACCTCAGAAAAGCCCATAGGAAGCTAGTATTGTCTCTAACCAAACTAAAGAGAATGTATCAGATAAACCATTCGTCTATTTTCAGTCTGACGCCAGGTGTCACCGTTTCTTGGTCCAAATCACATCAGATGTCATACAACAAATGATAATATATGCTCATAATATGCTGTATTATTTTTGAAAATCATGATCATATTGTCTGTCCATGCATCTTAGATGGTCAGATAGGATTTAATCTTTTATAAATCATTGAGAGAGTGGTTTCTGGAATACAGTAAGGTTTAGAGACTGTTTAAACTTTGATTTTTGTAAATGATTCACTTTAATGTGGGATATGCAGTGGTAAAAAAAGAGAATTGAAAAAAAAAACTGAAGTAAAAGTACCATTACTTGCCAATAATAATAATACTGAAAGTAAGAGTAAAAAGTAGTCCTTCAGAAAGTACTTGGGAGTAGAGAATCGTAAGTATTGCACTGTGAAAATGATTCCACCTTATACCCTTAATCTAATTTAAAAATAAAGCTGACATCAGTGCTGTTTTCTTGTTCTTCATGTGTTTGAAAACGTAATATTCTGTAGTGCATTTAGTTATTGTTTAAGGCCATTTGGAGATTTCAGTCATCATACAGTAGGCTTTCTTCATCTTCATTATTGTCATGTATTCAGACAGTCTGTCAGATGTTGTTGCATGTAAGGATTTTTTGTCTGTTTGGAATCTTTTCAATGCTTCCACACTGTACATGTTAGCTATATTTCTGAAGCATCCATATTTTGAGATTAGTCTGTCTGATGCATAGGGCTTTGCAATTTGGGGAAAATATAAAAAAAAAAACTTTAACAGATATTTTGATTTCGATTTGATTTGCGATTTAATTTTGTAGCCACGCTTAAGCTCAATAATCTGTATGCAGTGAGTGTTAGTAAAATGAACTGAAAACATATTAACTAACTCCAATTTGTATTCAAATTTGTTTATAAATATTTAGAAATTGAACACTCATTTTTCTCTAGAGCAAACATTAGTGAGTTATGGCATTAATTATCTCCTGGTGCCTTTGTGTTTTTTTCATATGGTGTAACAGCTGCAAACAACTCTAAAATTGTACTTTGCTGTTGCTTGCAACTAGATTAGGTGTCACTAGCGAAACTTTTACTTGATTTTTAGCAGGACACTCCTGATAGAGCTGTCTATGGTGCTTTTTTAAATGCTGGTGGTTGTATTTCCTCGTTCAGCTTTTACAAATTACCTGTTTTTGTTCGGTGTTAGAAGCTGTGTTCCAAATGGCGCACTATGCACTTATGCACTATGTACTTATGCACTTACACACTCAACAGTAGAGTATGCATGTAGTGTCATCCCAAATGGAATACTGTTTTTTACTGAGAGGAAATTCCAACCGTTTCCCTGCTGACTTTTGACGGTCGCCAAATTAGTGAAATAAATGACCAAAGTACCAAATAATACCTGCCTTGAGTAAAACTGCATTTACCATCGGGTGGCGCTATAATCACTCTCGTAGAAGAATTTTACTTTCACAATCCAAAATAAAGTAATCCAACATGTGCGCACAATAGCTCCACCCTTTTACTACGTGAGCAAATCTGTGACTGTTGAGTGCGTGAAGTGTCCATCATTACACACTTCATTATAGCGGCTGAATGAGTGCATCATCCGGGTTAATCAAGTGCACTTCTTATTTTTAAAGTTTTCAGTGTGAACGCACTACTTACACAATTTATACTACAAAATGGCCTAGAATAGCGCACAAGTATGTGATTTGGGACGCACCTTGTGACTTTGAAAGCAAAATTTTCCCATATCACCGACATGCTGTTTTTCTTTGATATGAATTCATCTATTAATGCTTCTGAAGCGGAAGACGCCATCATCCTACTTGTTCGCACGTTCCTGTTTGTTTGTTTTTTTGTGGGCTTTAAGCGTAGTTCGGTTGCGCAATTCTGATCGGGTGGAACGAAAATGTGCTTACTTAATTGGCTAGGTCTTTCTGTTGTCGATTTAAGAAAGCTTCTTTAAGTTTCATTTGGTCCCTCATTTGGTTGCTAGGAGCAACTATTGTTATCATGTTTCTTTGATTAAATACAGATTTTAAAAGTTGTGGTATTCTTTTTGAATCACACTGTTTATTTCATATCGCAGCCTCTTGCAATTAGCTAATTGTAATGTTTCAAATTGCGATAACGGTTTTGATTAATCACACAGCCCTACTGATGCATAATCTCATATAATCTCATATAATAGAATCACAGGACTTAATATTCTACTTAGCAAATTGATAAGAAACAGGAAAATATAAAGAAGTGACTAAAGGTTAAAGGAAAATAGTGCTGTAAAAACCAATACTGAACTAAAAATGTACTAAAATAAATGTTCACATTTTTTGAAATCTACTGAGTAAAATGCAATTCTGTGAAAAACGACTCAATTACAGTAATTTGCTTATTGGTAATTTGTTTATTTACACTACTGGGGATATTATTAAAGGTCCATTGAAATTAAAATAATGTTTTTTTTTTAGTCCTCAATGATATTTATAAGCTAATGTGCTACAAAACAATGACAGAATGTGCGTTTAGTTGATATAAAATCGATATAAACATGTAAAGCTTGCAGTTTGTCACTTCCACCTAAATGTGTCAACGTTTTATTTCACATCACCTCATACAGCTGCGGTCACACTGGGCTTTTCCTCCCATAGACTTCAATTCATACGCACGCAAATGCGTCAGACTGGAAACGCGGGGTCATGCGTCAAGTTTCGCAGGTTGCTGCGCTGCAAAGTTCAAGCTTGGTGAACTCTGACCTGCAAAATCGCATCACTTGACTGCGTGAGAACAATTGAGGATCAAAACATGACATCTCTGGACAGAAATTTAAAACATGGAGCAATCGCTCGCTTTTAAAAATGTCTAATAAGCTAGTTTAATCCCGCCCCTTTTCGCAGCGCCACATGATAGAATTTCGCATGCTCAAACTCTAATGTGACCGCAGCTTACTTCAGTTTGTCATCAAATCTTGACCAATCAAATGCTCTGTAGTATCTGACATGCCCCGCCCCCCTTTACAACGCTTTTCATTTGTTTTTTATTTGATGCTCTTGAGATGAACGACTCTCACTGGCAGAGCTGAGATAAAAACAAAACAGTCTTGGCTTCTTTTTTTTTTTTTAAAGGGGAGGAGCTTATTATGTCCCGCCCTCTCTTTGTTTTTCAGTTGATATTACATACAACATTGAATAAAAATGCACATTTCAAAGCACTTCACAGGACCTTTAACATTGATTCTAAAATTGGTGATTTGAATTTTTCAATTCAAATGAGTAGAGGTTTGGACCAAGAAACAGTATTTTTCACACGCCATCTTAACAAGCAGATGGACACCCACCAAAATTCCTGCTCGTTTTATGGAGTGGTACCTATTTCCTGGGCAGTCGGTGAAGTTCAGAGTCTCGTAGTTAAGGGGCCCATGGAATCCTCATCAGTTCTCAATCGCCAAATGGAAACATATGGTGAAGCCAAACAAAGCTAGAGCTCCCTCCCAGAGGAGCTGCTCTCTTAGCGTGAATATTTCGGATGGAACCGGATCACTGAATATTCTGTTGCTTTGATTCTAGACATGGATGTCCAGGCTCTGCTTGAGTTGGACCTGTTTTTTGGATTAAAGCCTTGTGGTTTCAGCCTAGAGTCCTCAGATTATTTTATGTGGTCGTGGTGGGACAGCGTGATAAAACATGTGGTTGGAAACATCACGGCAGTGAATCTACAGGACAGGATAGATATGCAAATGAGCTTACAGACACACTTTTGTCCATTTTACCATAATGGACCAAAGTCTGTTTTAGTCAAAAATGTATATGTGCTTATTTATTATAAGTTTTGTTTTCCAAGACATTCCTGTTTCTTTTTAATATCTCTTTTAATAACATAAACTAGAATTCTCAGTATATTCTGAATCATGCAGCTCATGTAGAATGTATTAGAGTTTTTTGTATCTCAGAAAATAGTGTTATTAAATTGGAGAAGAGGTTTTGAATGTATGAGTACAACTTTAACACTTTTGCTTTAAAAGATCAACAAATATTTAATATTTTTACTGACGGCAAACATGTAAAGTATGGGATGGTTTTAATCACAATTACTCTGTTTTGTTGTTTTATTTACTCCTTTCACTAATCATGTTACTTTTGTTTCTATTATTTTAGGTGTTTGGTTTAGGAAATAAAACATATGAGCACTACAATGCCATGGGCAAGTACACAGACAAGAGACTTGCTGAACTTGGTGGGAAAAGAGTCTTTGACTTGGGCCTCGGCGATGACGACAGCAAGTGAGTAAATATAAACATTGAAGTCACAATTATTAAACACTCTGAATTATTAGTCTCCCTGTTAATTTTCCCCCCAATTTCTGTTTAACGGCGATTTTTATTTTATTTTATTTTTTTATTTGTTTTAAACAAATATTTTTTTCCACACATTTCTAAACATAATAGTTTTAATAGCTCATCTCTAAATACTGATTTATTTTATCTTTGCCAGGATGACAGTAAATAATATTTGACCAAATTTTTTTAAGACACTTCTATACAGCTTAAAGTGACATTTAAAGGCTTAACTAGGTTAATCAGGTTAACTTGGCAGGTTAGGGTAATTAGGCAAGTTATTGTATGATGATGGTTTTTTCTGTTGACTGAATCGAAAAAATATATAGTTTAAAGAGGCTAATAATATTGATCTTAAAATGTTTTTTTTTTAAATTAAAATCAAAATAAAACAAATAAGACTTTCTCCAGAAGAAATAATACTTTCAGACATACTGTGAAAATTTCCTTGCTCTGTTAAACATCATTTGGGAAATAATAAAAAAAGAAAGAAAAAAAAATCAATGGGGGGCTAATAATTCTGACTTCAACTGGACTTCTGAATGAAACCCATAAAACAATACACCATATTTTACAAAATATAAGTCCTGTTTTTTTAATCATCTTAAAAGTGAAATAAGTTATATTACAAAGCACCTCAATCATTCAAAATATCCACGCCAGTTTCAAATGTTTGTTTTTTTTGTGCCAAATCAGAGACATGTTTTTTTTATTTTTTTTAAATACTATTGATTTTTAAGGACTTGTTGTGCACAGAGAAGTGAAAGAAATGCTTCTAATGTTTGTTCAAATTTGGATTCACTTTGGGTTTAATTACTTTTGCTTTTTTTTTTGACTAATATCAATAACTGATAACTTTTTAGAATCTCAGACCGATATCCGATATATAGGCCGATAAATATAAATTATTATTATTTTTTTTTTTTCAAAAATTTATGTTATTTTGAATGAGGGTTATTTTTAGTCACCTTCTGCTTGTCGATTTTTTTCCCTCTTAACAGTGCACACAGTATTACTTAAAGTTAGAAGTTAGTCTTATCTCATGGAAAATACAGTAAATTTTGCCCTGTTTTAATTAATTTTCATTGACTTTTTTGTGATGTGGTCCTAAATCAATTAAAGCTTGGAGGAGGACTTTATATCTTGGAAGGAGCAGTTTTGGCCTGCGGTGTGTGAGTATTTTGGCGTGGAGGCCACTGGAGAGGACAGCAGGTATTACTTTTTATTCTCAAAGTGCTTGTCTTGTCATTTCAATTCAGAATTCTGTTGTTTACTTTAAAAACAGACTGCATTGGTAGGCAGCGTATTTATAAGAGCTGACCATCTGTATCAGATTGTCTAGTTCAAACATGATGTTTATTTGATGGCTGTTTTTGTAGCCATAAAGCGCATTCAGTCTCGCATCTCCATATTAGAAGGACCACATCCATTCATCATGTGCTTTCATAACAAAGACCTCCCCTGTCCTGCTTTGAATAGGTTTTTGCATCTTATTAAACATCATAGGTGTTTTGAATGCTTTAAATGCAGTCTAGTAAATGATCTCCAGTCCTTTTTTTGTGTGCTTTCAGCATTCGGCAGTTTGAACTGGTGGTTCATAATGACATCAATATGAATCAAGTGTACACCGGAGAGATGGGCCGCCTCAAAAGCTTTCAGACGCAGAAACCGTAAGTTCATCCCTTTCAACTAAGCCATTGATTGGCATTTTAAAAGATCAGCTTTTCATTCTTGATCTAAAATGTCATGCTTCTTTTGTAAGGTAGTCTGTGAAAGTAATGTTTGGTGCAATGTTTTATTTACAACATATTTAGCAAGAGTTTGTAAAAAGATTTTGATCTGATGGATAGATGTGTTGTTGTGTAGACCGTTTGATGCCAAGAACCCTTTCCTTGCATCCGTGGCTGTTAATCGTAAGCTGAACAAAGGAGGAAACCGCCATCTGATGCATATCGAGTTAGACATCACTGAGTCCAAGATCAGGTACATGCACTGATTGGGTTGAGTAAATTGTGAGAATGCATTTACATTAAAATGTGTATTTTATTTTTCTTTTCAGAGGAAAACATTATGGCTATCATACATTTGTACCCATGATTTGGAGAAGACACTAAAATGTCATTCAGTGTTATGGTTTATATACACCTAAAGAAATCTTGTCAGCCATTTTAAAAACATAAACAACTTGATGGCATATTAATAATAAATATTAAGGTGGCACTTTTTATATATCACTTATTGTATAATTTAGGTTTAATATATTAATTGTAAATTTATTTAACTTAAATTTTTCCTTTTTGTTCTGTTATCTGTTACACTGAATGCTGATCAAGATGAGCATTTTTTTTAAAAGTTTTTTTTATTTTTTATAAAAGTTACTTGAAACATTTAGGAAAAGTCTTTAATGTTGTATAAATGTTTTATGAACTTTCTGTTTAACAGAGAGAAGATTTTTAACATATTTTTATCAACTAATGTATAATAACTGATTTATTTTATTTTTGCCATCATGACAGTACATAATATTTTATTATGGATGTTTAGCTTAAAGTGCAATTTAAACGGTTGTTTAGGTTAATAAGGCAAGTTAGGGTATAACAGTGTATAACAGTGGTTTGTTCTGTAGACAATTGAAAAAAAAATATTGCTTAAGAAAACTAATACTATTGATCATAAAATGGCTTTAAAAACTGTTTTTGTTGTTGGAATAATTACATTAATTCCATGTGTGTTCAATAAAAAAGATCAGGAGAGGTTTTTCTTCAATGTCAAAAATCTTATTATTTATTGGATACAAATGAATAATTCGATTCACAGAATTCTGTTATCCTCCATGCAATGTAGGAGTTACATTCAGGGGAATTCATTTCCTGATTCGCACTTTTATACGTCGCTGATATTAACAGGTGGAGTTTAGTGGAATTCGTCACTTTTAAATCATTCTCCAGTCCTCCATTGGTCGCACCCATACATACGTCCTCTTTTTTTTTTTTTTTTTACAGATTTTCTGCACAACATTAAAGGCACAAGCCAACTTGCAAATATTCTGTGCTCATAGGAAGTTTTGAGAGACAGAGCTCAAGTTAATTTTAGACAATCAGCTTCATCTTCTTCTGCAAAAATGCTTCATTAGTGTGTAAAGCATAGCACACTCAACAGTAGAAGTTCAGTTAATATCACCTTTAAGCAATACAAATACAATTGTTTAATGAAAAAGAAAAAGAGACAAAAAAAAAATCACAACATTATTCTAGCCAAAATAAAACCAATCAGACTTTCTTCAGAAGAAAAAAATATTATAGGAAATACTGTGAAAAATCCCTTGCTCTGTTAAACATCATTTGGAAAATATTTGAGAAAAAAAAAAAATCACAGGAGGGCGAATAATTTTGACTTCATCTTCATATTCACATCTATCTTTATATATTTAATATACATTGCGCATATACATGAAGTTAAAATATTTGAAATATCACTATAAATTGTTGTACAGTCAAATTGTCATATAGTGTGTAAAATACTATTTATAAATGCAGTTTTTTTGTGTAAAGAGACCAAATAAACGATTACATTTTCTACTCTCTGTAGATATGATTCTGGAGATCATGTTGCTGTTTACCCCACCAATGATTCTGCTATGGTCAACAGAATAGGAGAGAGACTTGGAGTAGATCTCGATGCTGTAATCTCTCTCAAAAATCTGGACGGTATATAATAATATCTATCTTTTTAATCTCATAATTGTGCATTCAGCACAATAGATGATATGTACAATTAAAGGGTCTATTTGGATGAATGTTTATACATTCGCTTATTTTTTTTTTTGTAATTTGTGAATATCTCACTATGGGGCAATTAAAACGATTGGGTTAACCTTTCCTTTAAGTGACATTCTTTAATATATACAGTGCTCAGCATAATTAAGTACAGCCCAATTTGATAATGAATATTTTTTATCCATTTCTCAGTGAATATAGGCAATGTATTTTGATGCATTTAAACAAAACCGATTTATTGAACAGATATAGTTATTCAAATAATATTTTAGTCAACAAACAATTGACTATTCAGAATTTAGAAATTAAAAAGATAATACAACATACAAGATAATAAACAAAATTCAAGAAAAATATTGCAAAAATAAACTACAACCTACAAAATTTTAACTACATTTTGCCTGTTTTTAAATTTGTATCTAATATTTTTCTATAACATAAATTTGGCGGTACTGTTAACGCAAGTTATTTTGTTAGATAAGCTCCAGATTTGGCTTTAGTACTGACTATCCTAATGTATATGAACAAATATAATATTCTTCAGCTTCCTATTAAAAAATATTAATTTAAAAGATAATCTGTGATTGGTTTCGATATATTGTTATATATATATACTATATACTATATATATATACAGATATATATATATATATATATATATTTTTTTTTTACAATAAATTACTTAGACTTAATTTTGAAATTATTCAGTTTATATACAGGGTTCATATGGTCCTGGAAAGCCTGGAAAAGTTGTGGAATTTTGACATGGCATTTTCCAGGCCTGAAAAAATGTTGGAAAAGTCATGGTAAATAGTTTAACAAATATCTGTATACTTGAATATTGGTTAATTGTCTTTACCTCTAATTTGTCCTTGGCCAAAAACATGCTCTCGCATTATTAGTGCCGTGTAAGCATTATCTAAATACATTAGACATGGATATGAAAATAATAATTAAATTTTTTAAATTGATGATATGCTGTAATAAATTCAAACGTGCATTGTTTTTATTTACCACATATACATAGACATTACATGAAACAATAGGTCATGAAATTTTACTTGAAAGTCTTGGAAAAGGAATTTTATGATGGAATTTAGTAGTAAAAATGTGTATGAACCTTGTAGATCAGGGGTGTCCAAACTCCGGTCCTGCTGAGTTTAGCTCCAACTTGCTTCAACACACCTGCCAGGATGTTTCTAGTATATCTAGTAAGAGCTTGATTAGCTGGTTCAGGTGTGTTTGATTAGGGTTGGAGTTAACTCTGCAGGACACCAGCCCTCCAGGACTGAGTTTGGACACTCCTTCTGTTCATAATATAACATGCTTTTGATGTTTCAATTCTGCAGAGGAGTCCAATAAAAAGCACCCTTTCCCCTGTCCCACCACATATCGCACTGCACTGACCCACTACCTCGACATCAACAACATGCCCCGTACGAATGTGCTGTATGAGCTGGCGCAGTATGCCTCGGATCCGCAGGAACAGGAGAACATGCGCAAGATGGCATCTGCGTCGCCTGAAGGAAAGGTCAGGATTGTACCGTAATCACTGCTGTTATGCCCAGAGGAGTCTTTTTTACCTTCTGCTTGGTCTTTTTAGGCTCTCTACCAAAGTTGGGTTCTGGATTCGGAGAGGAACATATTGGCTATTCTAGAGGATCTGCCTTCGCTGAATCCTCCTATAGATCACCTGTGTGAGTTGCTGCCTCGGCTTCAGGCTCGGTACTACTCCATCGCCTCCTCCAGCAAGGTAAAAATGACAGTTTGTCATAAACAATCAGAAATTTTGAGTCAGTAGCCCCTTTCACACATACAGACCTTTCCGGAAAATTGCCAGCAATTTTCCCGAAAGGTTGTATGTGTGAACAAGTCCTTTTTGAAAATACCGGTAAATTCGTTCTGGCTATTTTCCGTAAAGAGAAGTTGTAACATTACCGGCAATTTGCCGGAATGCTGCGCTGTGTGAACGCAAAAGGAAGATTGCCGGAATAAGCGTGTGCTGGTCTAGATTGGCTGACGTGAGACGTCTGCTTTAGCCAATCACAACAGTCAGACGCATTTATGTCCGCGCGGTTCATGAGAATAAAAGCCTTTGAATATTTTTCCAGACACATTTAGCTGCTAGAAGTTAGTCAGATCACATTTATATGTTCTTCTTAATGCCAACTGTGTAAATAATCATCGATGAGATGCTTATGATAAGCCGTTGTTTGTTTACCTTCAAGCTTTGCGTGTGCCTGTGAAACAGCCTGTGAGCGCCTGCACACGCACATATTATGAACATCTCGACATGCGAAAGTGATCCTGCGAAAGTTGTTTACAATATTGATCATCCACAGAGTTTGTAATTTAGTCAAATGTTTACAAATACAAGCGCAAGCTCATTTGTGGTGAATGATGTCAGAATTTACCGGTATTTTGGAATGGATGTGTGAATGCTCTTTTCCGGAAAATTTCCGTAACGTCCTCGCCTGTGTGAACAGCGCTTTTTTGAATATACAGGTAAAGTCGTTCCAGAAATTTTCCAGATATTTACCGGTATCACTGTGTGAAAGGGGCTAGTGTTTGACTCTTAAAGTCTGTTTGAAGCTGAAAAGTTGCTGAGACTTTTATTTTAGTATGTTGATGTACTTCCAACTCAAATGGAATAATGAGTAGGGGCGGGGCTTTCTTTTTGCGCATCATTTCCTCATAGCAAACTAATGCTAAGAGGGGTGTGGCTAAGATATTATTGTGGCTAAAATGTCAAACTGGAATCAACAGAGAAGGACAGGTGAAAGCAAATAGTCAGACTTTGAAAAATGCCAAAACATTTTAATTCAGTTGATTAACTTGTTCACCTAAAAATAACAATGTGCACTGACCAATTGAAAATTGTACATTTTCAATTTCACACAGACATTTCAGAACTTTGCTTTAAAAATTTTTTTAACTAAACGCCCATTCACACCGGGATGGTTTTTGCTCACGCTCTTGTCAGAGTTTAACATCTCGTATCTAAACAAAGGGCGGCAATGTGATCATGCACACCAATGCACAAAACGACACGCGCAAAAGCATCATTTTTAAAGAAACAGCCTCAAAAACTTCTCTACCAATCAAGGGTGCGTTTCCGATAACCATCATTAGCCAACTAAGGTTGCAAGTTAGTGTCGTTACAAACATAGTTCTTTGATTTGCCGCTTCCCAAATTCGTCGTTCCAACGAACATTCGTAAACTGCGTTGCAAACTTCTATGCTGGCAACTACACCTCTGGAGCTGTAGTTAGAAACATAGTTCTTGGTTGTGTTGTATTACCAGTTATCCCCCCTTAGCCCTATTGCTTTAGAACATTCTAACATTTAAGCTTGGAATGATTAAAAAAAAAACATTAAAGTCGTCTCTCTTACGTGTAATTTGCTTTCAAAGTATTTTTTAAAGTTCAGTTTTAGCGATCTTCATGTTTACAATTGGGTTCCCTTCGCAGTGCACTTTGAAAACATTGATGTAATTTTGAACACAGCTGTGGCTCATGACAAAAGCTATAATTATTCACAATTATTCACATCACTATTATTTAAAAGTGGAATTTATGTTACATCTTCAAAGCTTGTGAAAACAAAAAAACACAGCATATGTTAATGCTTTTAATTTATAGTGGCTTATTTATTAAGTATCTGTACTGTATATGACAGGGGCCTGTTGGTTAGAACATTTCTGCAGTGGTTTGCATGCATCAAATTGTAAAAGTAGACTTTTCAACAAATAAAAAATAAATAAACAATACTTAATAATAATAATAATCATCATCATCATCATCATCATCATCATCATTAATATTATTATTAAAGTAGGATTTTTTCATCTCCTAATAAATTATAAATATTAAATTCCATGTCTTAATAAATAGCCTTATTATTTATATATATATATATATATATATATATATATATATATATATATATATATATATATATATATATATATATATAATTTATATATGAGATTAGAATAAGTGTTTTTTAAGTGATTTTCATACCTTACAGAATATGTAAGGTTCTTATTAATATTTGTAAAGGAAATACAGGCCCTATTTGTGCCATTTACATATATTTCAATTAATATGGAAAGCGAGTGCATGTTTTTACCAAAACTAATATTGGATTTTATTTTTACCACTTGTGCGTAAAATAATATAATTTGCACAAAAAAAATGATGGGGTTCTTCTATAAAGAATTGTTACTCCACCCCATTTAGAGCATCGTTATGGGCACTTTACAGTACAACTAACGTGGTTCAAACGATGGATCTGTGACAGAGAAATTACGGGTTTTGGGAAAACTCGTCACTACATCGTTCTTTTTACCAAACAATGCAATCACTTGGAGGTGCTCAAGTGCAGAACAGTCAAGGTGATCCCAGTTTCACTTTCATTCAATGAAAAAGATGATGCACTGAGGCAGGATGTATGTGGAGCTTCTTTTTTCATTAATGTCTGAACACAGAGACCTGAATGATAAACGCAACCACAACTACAATAATGTCAGTAGGAGTTGAGAGTAGCAAGTAGGATTTGATGTTTCACTTCACTTTTCTTTCCTGACTTGCAAGTTCATTAAGCACCATCTAATGTCAGTTCACTTTGCTCAACGCTGATGAAAATGTTCTGGGTTTGAATGCAGAAAAACATATTGAAAACCGTTAATGATTAACGTGAGCGAAAAGTGTTCTGGTGTCTATGAGCATTAAATTTCCTAGCACTGGGTTGCGGCTACCCACGGATGATAGTGAGTTAAAATTTGTATCCAATTAATTACACAATGTTGAACAGAATCTGAATGTTAAAAGCGAAAGCATCAAGTAGACATTTACAAAAGTAGTTTTAGAAATAATAACACAGGATTAATTGATTTATTAGCATTTTCTTTTTTAATGGTCGACCGTTTTGAATGTGAAAAGACCTGTTTATTCTCATTTTAGGTTCATCCACACTGCATCCACATCTGTGCAGTGGTGATCGAGTACAACACCAAAACTGGACGAGTCTTCAAAGGTGTCGCCACCAACTGGCTGAAGGGCAAACATGTGACTGATAACGGCCACAAGCCCACCGTTCCAATGTACGTCAGGAGATCCCAGTTCCGGCTGCCGTTCAAACCCAGTAACCCTGTGATCATGATTGGTCCCGGGACTGGTATCGCCCCCTTCATGGGCTTCATTCAGGAGAGAGCCTGGCAGAAAGAGCAAGGTGTGCACCAGAACTGGCTTCAACACAGCATCAACACTGCTCAACATATATGAGTTCACCTCACAAAAATCTCTCATTTAGATAGTTATTTTCTATAGGATGATTTATAATATTATATTTGTGCATATATATTAGATAAGTCAGCACTGAAGTCAAATCTGGAGCTAATCTAACAAAATAACTTATGATAACAGTCCAAAATTTAACTAAATATATATGTCAGAGGAAAAATATTCAATAAATTTGTTTTAAAAAGAGCAAAATTTAAGAGAAACAAAAATGTATAAAATTTTGTTGACATTTTTTATTTTGTAATTTTTCCCCGAATGTTTCACATGGATTACATGTGTTATCTTTCTATTTCTAAAGATGTTTAGTGACTAAAATATTATTTGAATAAATATATGTTTAATAAATCTGATTCGTTCAAATGCACTAAATTACATTGCCTATATTCACTGAGAAACTGATAAAACTATTTATTTTCAAAACTTGATGTACTCATATATGTTGAGCACTGTATATATTGCAGATGAAACCAAATTCACAGATTTAATTCAATTACATCTAATTTATTAATGAAACTTATTTACGGTGTCAGTGGTTTAAGGTATAATCAGTGTGTTCTGACCTATAGTAACCTCTGATTAGCTATTTCAGCAGATGTGGGATTCTCAAAGATGACATATTTTTGATATAAAACAAACCGTGACAAATTTTCATTGCTGCACCACTAAATGGACGGCCATGAAAGACTGCAATTTTACTGTCTAGCTTCGGTGTGAGCATTGATGTCTATTAAAATACAAATTATGCATCTAATTTGACTTTACTTTTATGTTATATGGAGATACAAACACCTATTTTATTGGAAAATTGTCTCGTGAACACTATTGTTACTCTAGATCTGGTAGTTTCAGACTGCTAAATTAAATTCACAATAGTACTAAGGGGTGGTCAAATGAGTAATTATATGATCTATTTATTTAATTATTAAAATTGTTATTTAAGATACTTTCATTCATTCATTTTCTTTCGGCTTAGTCTCTATTTCAGAGGGCACCACAGCAGAATGAACTGCCAACTATTCCAGCATATGTTTTATACAGCGGATGCCCTTCCAGCCGCAACACAGTACTGGGAAACATCCATGCACTCTCACATTCACACTCGTACACTACGGCCAATTTATTTAATCCAATTCACCAATAGTGAAAGTCTTTGGACCGTAGGGGAAACTGGAGCACCTGGAGGAAACCCACACCAACACAGGGAGAACATGCAAACTCCACACCGACTCGAACCAGCGACCTCCTTGCTGTGTGTGACAGTGCTAACCACTGACCCACCGTGCCACCCTATTTAAGATACATATCAAAGCAAACTATTTCTGACTGTTTTAAGGCCTAACACTTGACACATCTTGTTTTGACAACCTTCAGGGGCGATCAAGCATTAATTATGGGTATCCAACCTCTTAAACCCCCCTGTAAATCACACACTTGTAGTATTGAAAAGGTATGACTTACTTTTGCTCTTTGTTGCAGGAAAGGATGTTGGTGAGACGATACTTTACTTTGGCTGTCGCCATAGCAACGAAGACTTCCTGTACCAGCAGGAACTGGAGGAATTTGAGAGGGCAGGCGTGCTGACGCAGCTTAACGTGGCCTTTTCCAGAGACCAGGAGCAAAAGGTGAACCAATTCATGGAAAATAATGATACAAATGTTATTGTGTTATTGCTGCCATAGGTATTTGTTTACTTCCTGTATTAAATATGCAATATGTTATACCACTTATATACAGTCTGGGTATAAACACAAGCCCCAGGATTCCAAAGGCATTTGAAAATATATTTTTAAAGTTATTATTTTACTCAAGAAGGATGCATTAAATTCATCTAAAGTGACAGTAAAGATATGTATATTATTACTAAATATGTGCTGCTCCTTTAAACTTCAAAAACTGCTCCCCAATAATGCGAAGCAGTTTTCAACATAACGATGATCAGAAATTTGAGTCCTTTTATGTACTGGGCTGTTTTTCGCAGGTCTATGTGCAGCATCTTCTGAAGAAAAACAAGCAGCAGTTGTGGAAGCTCATCCATACAGATAATGCTCATATCTACGTTTGTGGGTAAGAACCAGAAGTTGCTTCTATTCAGTCTGTCAATGCAGAAAACACACTATAAATTGGCAGCATAATGCAGAATGACATGAAATCTGGCAAATTTTACAGTGATTGATCAAATCAGCGGCGCGGTGGCTCAGTGGTTAGCACTGTCGTCTCAACGGCAAGAAGGTCGCTGGTTCGAGCTCGAGCACAGAAAGTTGACATTTCTGTGTGAAGTTTGCATGTTGTCCCCTTGATGAATTGTTCTCCCCCGGGGTGATCCGGTTACCCCCACAGTCCAAAGATATGCAATATGGGTGAATTGGATTAAAAAAAGATGACTGTAGTGTATGAGTGTGTCTGTGAAGAAGTGTGTATGTGTGCTTCCCAGTACTGGGTTGCGGCTGGAAGGACATCTGCTGCGTAAAATCTGCTGGTGGTTCATTCCACTGTGGCGACCCCTGATAAATAAGGGACTAAGCTGAAGGAAATATTAATGAAATGAATGAAAATATTAATTCTGCACATCCTATGTGCTTCGATGAGCTAGTGACTGGGACAGTTTTGTTTACTAAACACAATCAATCATATGTGATGTTCATGGTGTTTTCAGCATTTGTCCCCTCATTGTATGTTGACATGAATACATGAACTTCTCTTGAACTGCTCTTAGAGTCATTTCATGAACAAGACTAGCTTCAACTCAAAGAAACTCAAGCGTCTCACCAACAATTATATCTTACATTTAACTTATATATAACTACTACTATTCATTTTCTTTTTGGCGTTGTTCCTTTATTAATCTGGGGTTCGCCACAGCTGAATGAACCGCCAACTTATCCAGCATATGTTTTCACTGGAAAACTTCCATACACACTCATTCACACATATAAACTACAGACAATTTTTGCTAACCCAATTCACCTCTAACGCATGTCTTTGGACTTGTGGGAGAAACCAACGCCAACACGGAACTTGCAAACTCCACACAGAAATGCCAACTGGCCCAGCTGGAGCTTGAACCACCGACCTTCTTCCCGTGAGGCGATTGTGCTATTGAAGTAAACCAAAAATAATGTATTTTAAGTAATACTAATTATTGTTTATTTAATTAAAAATCTATTTTCTATTTTTCACTTCAAAAAAAAAAAAAATGAAATGACGCAACTTTTGGAGAATAATAATAGTAGACAACATTTCATTATGAAATATATTTATATATATGATATTTTAAAAATTAATCAAATTTAATGTAAGCAATAAAATGAATTATAAACAAATTATGTAGACCATATTGATGGATTTAAACAAAAACAGTGGTCCTGACTTATTTCCTGACTTACAGTTTTAATTTCTATAGCTTCTGAGAATACAAAAAGGTCCACATATTGATAAATAATGTTATGATAGCTGTTTTAACATTAAGTTATGATTGAATTGCCTTACAGTTATGAAATAGTTTGATAAAAAGCAGGAAATGTTCGTGGGCCATCGCCTTGAACACATTGAAATGGTCTATATATATACATTGTAAAAAAAAAATCAGTAATTTTACGGTTTATTTCCTAGGGTGCAGGAGAAAAACCCTGTAAAATAACAGCCGTTAAATTACAGAAATATACAGTAAAATAACAGATATGAAATTACAGAAATTTTCTTAAATTTAAATTTCTGGGATATTTCTGTAATTTAATGTCCATTATTTAAATTGTTTTTCTACCACCTGAGCTGCTGGAAATAAACCGTAAAATTAGTTTTGTGTTTTGTTTTATATTATAGTTGTAGATGATTTTGCTAGCATAACGTGGTCATTCATCAGTGTCTTGCTGTACATTTAAGTAAAAAGCCTCTCTTTTTCCAGAAGCACATTTTCTCGTGTATGTACTAAAGTGTGTGTGTGTGTGTGTGTGTGTGTTTTCAGAGATGCTCGTAACATGGCTAGAGATGTTCACGCAGCCTTCTCGGAGATCGCGGAGCAGGAAGGACGCCTGACACACACTCAAGCTCTGGACTATTTCAAGAAGCTCATGACCAAGGGCCGCTACTCGCAGGACGTCTGGAGCTAAGCCAACACACACACACACACCTCAATGTTTGCCACTTTACCTCACACCATCATTGCTCCAAAAGCTACAGTTTGAAGCGTTGAATTTGCCCGGACTGATTTATTGCCATCTTGTGATGGCTCTTAATGATAAAAACACTCCGCATCACACAGAATGGCATAGTTCAGTCTTTTTTCCCTCTAAATTAGTTTATGATATTCGAAACCTCCTGTAACAGGAAGCTAAGCAGTTTTGGATGTTATAACGCACGTACAGTATAAGCAAATGTAGGTCAAGGATGCAAATGATTGTTTTTGAGAGAGGCCTTATACGGATTATTATATCATTCTCTATGGTTTTGTACAACCTTAGATTTTCTGTGATGCTACAGAAAATGAACCATTTTAGGTCAGTCTTGTTTTTTTTGTTTGATCATGTGACTTCTGCTACACATCGTAACACCTTTTATGCATTATTTCACACTAACGTTGAGTAGCGATGAATGCTCAATTATGCAATTCATCATTGAATTAAGTGTTACATTTAGTTTTTTCGTATGTTGTCTGAATATTTTAGACTAACGCATTCATAAAATATATGTCTTTTCCTAACAAGATGCACTTACGATAAGAAAGTAGGATCTTCTTCTGTCTTTACATCTTTCTCACTGATTTCTACTTCTGATTATAGAAATTTCCCCCTGGTGAGCAAAAGCTGCAATTGCATTAAAATACCTAGCACTGTGGTTTGGCATTTAAAAAAGAAAAGCAAAGAAATGCTTGGTTAATTTTAATATTCATTCAAATTGCTTGGTAAATTGAGATGTTTTTGTGCAACAATCATGCAATGTTTGAAAATTTAAAGTTTGTCTTGAGAATAAAATGATTGCAATTTAGAAAATGTTTTACTCATTTCATTCTTTAATGTTCAAAAGTATATAAAGGTTCAGTAGCAACTGCTGTATAAAATAAAATAAAAAACATCAATGGTAGAAAGTGCACATCTGGAGCCATTTGAATTCTGGGAACAAGACTCGAGGTCAATACAGAAGCCATTTTCCATCATGGGATAATAAACTTTTAAAGGGTAATTGAAACTATTCATCTCACAATTATGACCCCCATTATCATTTTTTTTTTCAGAATGATGAGTTTGTCTTGCAGTTTTGAGATGTTCACTCACAATTTGTGATATAAACTAAGATCTGAGTAGGGCTGGGCAATAAATCCATGCATTGCAAATCAATAAACAATTCTGCAATGACTCTCTAAGATTTTCTACTTCATTCTTTAATCGATTCTGAGCTTAGTTTTCATCAACATATGATGCTGTATGCTTTATAGTCGCAACCCAGCCAATCCTTACACATCCTCACCCACTTGAACAAAATGTTTAAGGAAAATACAAGAGTGTTTTTCATGAACACTGTGTAATACATTTGACCACTTGTAGTACATGAATACAGTGCTCACGAAAAGTGTACAATTAAAATCTAGCCTACAGCACCATCTGCTGTTCAAAACTAGCCTACAGCACCATCTGCTGTTCAAAACTAGCCTAGAGCACCATCTGCTGTTCAAAACTAGCCTAGAGCACCTTCTGCTGTTCAAAACTAGCCTAGAGGACCATCTGATGTTTAAAACTAGCCTAGATGACCATCTGCTGTTCAAAACTAGCCTATAGCGCCATCTGCTGTTCAAAACTAGCCTAGAGTGCTATCTGCTGTTCAAAACTAGCCTAGAGCGCCATCTGCAGTTCAAAACTAGCCTAGAGCGCTATCTACTGTTCAAAACTAGCCTATAGCGCCATCTGCTGTTCAAAACTAGCCTAGAGCACCTTCTGCTGTTCAAAACTAGCCTAGAGGACCATCTGATGTTTAAAACTAGCCTAGATGACAATCTGCTGTTCAAAACTAGCCTATAGCGCCATCTGCTGTTCAAAACTAGCCTAGAGCGCTATCTGCTGTTCAAAACTAGCCTAGAGCGCCCTCTGCAGTTCAAAACTAGCCTAGAGCGCTATCTACTGTTCAAAACTAGCCTATAGCGCCATCTGCTGTTCAAAACTAGCCTAGAGCGCTATCTGCTGTTTAAAACTAGCCTAGAGCGCCATCTGCAGTTCAAAACTAGCCTAGAGCACCATCTGCAGTTCAAAACTAGCCTAGAGCACCATCTGCTGTTCAAAACTAGCCTAGAGCGCAATCTGCTGTTCAAAACCAGCCTATAGCGCCATCTGCTGTTAAATATAAGCTGTTAATCAATTCCAGATTATTACGGTGCATTACAAAATATCTAAGAATTGTTGCATGAATCACAATATATTGGTTTATTATACCAGCCCTAATTCTGAGAAAAAAGTACACAAGGAAAAATGAAACACTCCTAAGCTAAAAGTTCTCCCGTTAGACCCTGAGATCATCAGAATGGATTTAAAAATGATAAAACCCAACTGCTCAAATCTAGGGGAGCTGTAAAATGAGTTTATTATTTAAAGTCCACTGTTCCTTTAACCTTTAAGTGAATTTATTTCCTGAAAAAATGAGTAATTACTACAAAGTTTTACAAAACCCCCCCCCCCAAAAAAAAAAAAAAAAAAAAAAAAGATCAAAACTGTGATTTAAAAAGTAAAAATGACCCTTTTTCTGTGGCAGAAATAAGCTTCCATGAAGGAACAAATCAGTGACCATCGTACAAGTCATCAAATCTCTATGAGGATAAGGACTCTGAGGCTCCAGGAGTTGCTGTAGGAAAGGCAGTCGGTGGGATGTGAGGTGTGAACGGCACTCCTGGCTGAGGTAGTTTACTGAAGTCTTGTCCTGTCATGTTCACTGGAGGCCTGAACTGAGACAGACCGTATGGTGACATTGGCATAAACGGGCTGCCAGTGTTATGATGGCTGTGCCCATGATGATGTCCATGGCTGTGACCATGACCGTGAGAGTGTCCATGATTGTGGGCTCCGGCTTGAGCTGAAGGGAATGTGTGCTGCTGTTGAGGATGCAGTGAGACGGGCCAGCCGTTAAATGTGTTTGGCAGATTTCCTACCACTGGACTGTTGGTGGCGTTTACCAGGGAATAAGTCTGGACCGGGTACGACCCTGGTGGAGCATCTCTGAAATTAAGAATATTAATATTTTTAAAGATGAAATATAAATTTTAAAATATAGTGAGAAATAAGCAACATGTACAGGTGAAATTTAAATTCTTATTCATTTTCTTTTCAGCTTAATCTTTTTATTAATCAGGGGTCGCCACAGTGGAATGAACTGCAAACTTATCCAGCTTATTTTTTAGGCAGCGGATGCCCTTACGGCTGCAACCCATTGCTGGGAAACACCCAAACACTCTCATTCACACACATACACTACAGACAATTTAGCTTACCCAATTCATCTATAGCGCATGTCTTTGGACTGTGGGGGGAAACGGAGCACCCGGAGGAAACCCACGCGAACACGAGGAGAACATGCAAACTCCACACAGAAATGCCAACTGACCCAACCGGAATTCAAACCAGCGATCTTCTTGGTCCGAGGCGACAACGCTACCCACTGCTCCACCCATGTTTAATTATATATATTTTAATTAAACTGGAGCTATGGAGCCCTTTTTAAGTTAAACCAATGGTCTCAAACTCAATTCCTGGAGGGCCGCAGCTCTGCATAGTTTAACTCCAACCACCTCCAACTCGCACCTGCTTTATAGTCTCTGGTAGTCTTGAACACCTTGATTGGTTGGACCAGCTGTGTTTGATTAGGGTTGAAGCAAACCTGTGCAGAGCTGCGGCCCACCAGGAATCCAGTTTGAGACCTATGGGTTAAACCATGCAATAATTTAAGACGGGGGTGTCCAAACTGTCCTAGAGGGCTGGTGTCCTGCTGAGTTTAGCTCCAACTTGCTTCAACACACCTGCCAGGAAGTTTCTAGTATATCTAGTAAAGCAGTGGTCACACTTGAGTTTGACCATGCGAAATTCTGTAGCACGACGCTGCGAAATGGGGTTAAACAAGATGATAAGACATTTAAGAAAGCGAGCGACTGGTCCATATTTTAAATTTCTGTGGATATGTTTCCATCTTCAATTGGTCAGCGTTTACCAGGCTTAAACTTTGCAACGCAGTGAACTGCGAAACTTGTCGCACAAGCTTGCGTTTCCGAACTGATGCATTCGAGTGCGTATGAATGGAAGTGTATGGGAAGAAATATCCAGTGTGACTGCGGCTTTAGAGCTTGATTAGCTGGTTCAGGTGTGTTTGATTATTGCAGGAGCTAAACTCTCCAGGACACCAGCTCTCAAGGACCAAGTTTGGACACATCTGATTTATTTTTGTAAATGAAATTGAAGGCATTTATGGACCTGCAAAAATCTTGGGCACAGCTTTAGAGACAAGTGTATTTGCTTCTTATCTCCAGCAAAACAAGTTTATTTCATCACTCACGAGAGATCAAGTGGCTTTTTACGTTCCTCAGTTGAAGCAGGGATGAACTGGACACCAGGGATGTGCTTCAGCAAGCGAAACGGGATCTTCTTCTCCAAAACAGAAGCTGTGGATTCAGACATCTCCAACAGTGAAAACCATCCCATTCCATCTGAAAGTACTGCGTTAAGGAATGAACCAGAAATACTCTTTACACTTATTCAACTGCAGTACATGATCTCTAGGTTTAAAATCCAAGTTTGTATTAGGGCAGCACAATATATCGTTTCTGGATTGATTTCCTGATGTGAGCATTCGCAATAGTCACGTGCAATGTTGAGTTGGGATTATAGTTAACCAGGAGATTCTAAGCCCTGTGATTGTGTGAGCATTTCAAGATAGATTTAAAACTTTCAAACACAAGAAATGTTCCCGTTTGTTCAAAATACTTACTTAAATTGAGCTGAAACAACACAATTAAATCAAAATAAAACTGTTAAGGAACATTAAAAATATATTTTCAAGTTCAAACAATATTTCAGTCTTACAAAATTTTATTGTACGTGTCTTTTTCTAATTACATTACGCAATTTCTGTGTGAAAAAATGTCTCAATTTGTATCTTAAACACAATAGTCACATCGCAATTTCGAGTCTACATTAATGTTCACCAGGAGCCACATAATTGTATTGACTTACTGTATTTATAAGGAATTTATGCAAAAACTAAAAAGTTTTTTTTTCACTTAGAATTTGATCTTGTTCCAAGTCCAAATATCTTCATTTCAAAGCGAAAAAACAAGATTATTTTGCTTCCCCCACAAGCAGATCGTTTTTCTTGCTTCAAGGAAACACCCTTAATTTTGACTTATTTCTTATTTAAGTTGAAAACAAACCAATATTTGTACTTGATCTAAGAATTTTTAGATACTTGGACTAGAAATGAGACAAAGTAAGCAAAACTATTTTTTTTGCATTGTGATTATTTAATTTCTGTAACTGAATACTGTTAGGCTCCCCAGAAAATCATCAAATAGAGCTATTAAAACTATCTTGTGAAACTGCGTTCATATCGCAATATTTATCACAGAAATTATCTGATTTTCCATTATCGTAAAGCCCTACAATTATCCATCAATCAATCAATCAATACATTTTTTATCAACCCTCATTTTTATCTCTTTTTTTTTTAAAGCTTATTTGAATACATTTTTTTATTACAGTAATCTTTAATAAATTTTGAAGTTTTGTGTGAGATCAGTGGGCAGTGACCTGGCAACATGTTAGAAACTGCATAGAAATCACCTGACAATACCCTAGCAGCTAAATACCAATGACCTGACTACCTCACACAAACAGCTGATTTTTAGTGATAGCAATGTTTAATATCAACATTGTTAATTTTGGGTGAGATCTTTGTGATTATTCACTGAGGAACTTTCAAGAGTTCACACTTAGCTGATGATTGGTAATAAGCTAGTTTGGCATGCTGTCCCGGTAGAGAGCCCTGAGCTCATGGGATCCTCGAGCCCGGGGCTCCCTCCCGTTTGCAGGGCGAGAGGGGAGTTTGAGCTCAGGTAGATATCGAGAACCTCTCATGTTTTGGACTGTGGGAGTAAACTGGAGGACCCACGCGAGCACGGGGAGAACATGAACTCCACACACATATGCCAACTGGCGAGGTAGAGACCCGAACCGGAGGCATTCTTGCAGCGGATGCCCTTCCAGCTGCAAATCCAGTGCTAGAAAACACTCCTACGCACTGTCATTCACACACACACACACTCATACACTACGGCCAATTTGGTTAATCCAATTCACCAATAGTGCAATTCTTTGGACTGTGATGGAAACCAGAGCAAACCCGCGCCGACATGGGGAGAACATGCAAACTCCACACAGAAATGCCAACTGGCCCAGCCTGGCCTAGAACCAGCAACCTTCTTGCTGTGAGATGACTGTGCTAACCACTGAGCAACCATGCCACCAGTGATTTAATCTGGTGAAATTGAATTCATATCGCAATATGGCAGAAAAGCTAAATACCGTGCGGCCCTACTTTGTTATAAAATAAAGGTGTGAACTACTCGTTGCATTTAAGCAAAAGGATACATAATATCCCTGTGACGATAGCCAGGACGTTGCACATGAAGACCGTGTTTGGAACGAACAAGGTTATGATTATTAGAAAAATCCAGGGCAGAGAAGAAGTAGGCACATTGATGCCCATTATATAGGCCACCTTCATGCCAGAATTGATGGTCATCAATCCCAGGACGGACAGAGCTAATGGGATGAGGCCGTTAACTGAGCTCCTGCTAGACGGAGAGATCAGCAGTGACTCCAGAAGTACATACAGGAGTCCCGTGATGGAGGACAGAAGCAGCGTCCGGTGGAGGAATCTAACGCTGCCGACTCCTTTCTCCAAACCCCTGCAGGGAAACACCATCAGGAGGCCACCAAGGAGGAAATCACCCATATTCTTGTGGTAGAGGAAATAGGTGAGGAGTTGGTAGACTGTGAAGAGAGACATAAATAAAATCAATTAATTACTATGAAATCCATTATCTGTAGTTTTTTTTTTTACTTTAAAAGGCACCTAGGTCACCCCTTTTTCCAGATTTAATATAAGTATTTTGTGTCCCCAGAATGTGTCTGTAAAGTTTCAGCTTAAAACACCCATCAGATTATTATTATAGCTGTCTATAACGTTTCTGTTTTATAGCTTGTAAAAGCTTGTTGCTGTTTTTGTGTACTGCGCCTTTAAGGATTGTCCTCCCGCCCACCGTTCCCACGTAAAGCTGAAGTAAATCTCTTTAATTCATTACACACACAAACTGTTTTAAAAGATTTTTAACTTGTAAAACTCATTCTTGATCTTATCTGATGATGATTGATGAGCAAACTGAAACGATCTTTTAATCCTGGTTGCTTTGCGCACGTCCTCTCTTGTTGCTATGATTATACGCATGACTACGGAGACATGTTAACATGCAGCTGTCAATCAATTCGGTGGGCGGGGGGGCAGACTCCTACGTCAAGGATATGGTCGGTCTAAAAACCGATCCAATCGGTCATCAATTTTATGTTGTTAAATTGAAAAAAAGGACTGGGTGTGTTTATATCACCCCAATATGACGGTCTATACATAATCTACACATATGTCTGTCCAAACAGCTTGAAAAGTAGATTTTTCACCATAGGTGCCATTTAAAGGTTTAAGATTTGTGTGTGTTGAGCATCAGTTAAGACAATGTTAGCACCGGTCAGCTTTAATTGTGGGGAAACGTGAAGGATCGTATGTGTTTGTTTCCATGATCCACTGGGTTTGATGCATGTTTTCCCCCGCGATGCTGTCAGGGCAGAGACAGTAAAGCTGTATGTGTGCAGCAAACATTTTTGTCGGGAGAACTGTGTGAGAATTGGAGAATGGCGGACGTTGTCTTTTGTCAGTTGAGTTTGTTCACTATTAGACACATCGCCATGCTGCTCTATGTCATGTCTCTACTCTCTGAGCCGACGTGTAATATATTAAAAGATTACATCCAGATGCACAATAAATAGATTATTATTAACATATTACTTTGCGTGATGTCATTGCGTTATCATAACTCAAAACTATATTTTTATGTAGTATACAAAAAAATTAATGCTTTCTCAAATTGACTGGCCATCTCAGAAAAAAACATTATTTAAAAGTGCATTTAGAGTTGACTATTTGTAAAAGTAATACAAACACTTTTATGATAAGATTTTTTTTTTTAAATAGAACACTGATAATAAACAGTTAAATTCTTTTAAACAATAACAGCTTGAGTACTTGCTCTTTTTAACTTGTAAAATTAACACATTTGTGAAAGTGACAATTATAGCAATATTGGAATTTATTGCTACCTAAATTACACATGTTAACAAATATCAGTAAATTAACAGTTATGAAAAACAATCTGAGCTAGCTATTTAACTCAAATGTGATGTATGTGTGTGCGAATGTGATATATGTGTGTTGAGTGAAGCAAAGAGCTTAGAATGATGATCATTCTAAGTTCTTTGAGTGAAGCCAGCAGCCACTGCTCGTTTGAGTCACTTTTTAAAAATTGAAAGTAGCCAAATAAATGTTAAAAATGGCTAAATTTGTTGCTAGGTGCTTTTTGAAAAAATAAATAAAAGGTTGCTAGGCTAGTATGAAAAGTTGCTAAATCTAGCAACAAAATGGCTAAGTTGGCAACACTAAGT